AAAAAAGGGGGGGGGGTTGGGGGGGGGGGGGGTAATCGTGAAGTAAACGGTTGCCTAAGCGGTTAGACCGCGCGTCCTCGAGAGGACGAGCACTGTTCGTTCCCACGGGACTGATCGATCACCGATGGCCAATCGTTCCTTCCCACTATGCCAAACCTGGCTCAAAACTGTTTCCCTGTCCTATCTGGGGTGTGTGTGTGTGTGTACTCATAGTCGTGCATGCCGTAGTCGTTAGACCATTGATCTCGCATCCCTACAAAACCGGGACGGAGCACGCCGGGTTCTCACCGGACCAGGCTCTCACATCACCAAGCGCGAAGCACCGTGAGGTATTCGGTGAGTCGCATGAAGGGTGCGCTGTATCCTGCTAAGGGTGCTCGGCATCTTGTGCTTACAGTAGGGGGACCTGTTTAGTGCCGGTTGATTAGTGCCAGGTGCCCGATATAGCGCCGGCAAATGTCTGGACACAGGCGGTGCTCTCAATAGTGCCAGACCGGCACTATTGAGAGCTTGCCCGGTACAATAGTGCCGGTTCGGCGCCGCTGTCACCCCCAATAGTGCCAGTTACCCCGCGCGCGCGAACACACACACACACACACACCAGGCAGAGAAGACAGACTCCACACAGAGAAATAGGGGACACGTGCTGCTGCAGACCCGAACAGCTCTACGCGGGGTAGTGATGGTTGTTTGATTTGTTGCGGTGCGCTGCCTGTCGTGCTTCTCGTTTTTATTGTTTTTGTTTGCTTGTTCTTGCAACATCGAAGCGGGTGCGCCAGGCAGACAGGAGATAATTTATCCCGACGTAAGTGAGGGCGGGGGTTACAGCTGTAGTGTGTTTTTTTTTTTTTGTCTTTGGTGCGCTTTTTTTTTTTTTGGAGTTGATCTTCATTTTCATTCTGCAACATTGAAGTAGGCAACGAGCAGTGATTTTTTGTACGAACGAGAGCTTTACAAGCAGTTTGTGCCGTCACAGCTTACTCGAGTACATGACGTGCCTTCTTTCGCCGTCGTCTAGGCCTGGTTAGGCTGTAGCTCGAAACTGCTGCTGTATCTTATTTTACAACAAACTCTTGTGGGCTCCACAGGTTCGAACCACACGTGTCGCAGGAAAGAAAGTCTGCCCACGCCCACGCTGGAACTTCACTCAACAGCAGTAGTGTCGATCCATTTGGTACTCTGTTGACCCTGCAAGCGCGGGCGCTACACCATATAAGTGGAACACAACCTCATTAGTGCCAGACCGGCACTAATCAGGAATTGGCCAGCCCTCAATAGTGCCGTTTTGGCACTATTCGAAATAGTAATAGTGCCGGGTGCCCGGTATAGTGCCGGTGAAATCTCTGGACACGTACCGGCACTAAACAGGTCCCCTTACTGTACTTCCTTGCTTACGGATCACAGGTGAGTATGACATAATTTACTTTCTGGTGCTTTCACTTCTAGAGAAAGTGATAAGCACTGTGTAGCTGCCTCGAGGGTGCTTGACCAATCTTAACACAACGTGGTGCGATAACCCCCCGTGCGCGGAGTGAGGGTTCTCGACCCTGCACAACATAATCTACTCGGACCACCATTCACGGTCATCGCAATAAAAAACCAGAGGCGTAGAAAAAAGCCGGTCACATGGTTGCCGAGCTCACGAAGTGATCGGCTTCTTCAACAGGGGGGGGGTATTAGGCTTTGAGGAAGATGTGTGAGAATGCGCCACTGCAGGGGATTCTGGGGCGCTAAGTGCGAGGGCGTACCAACTCGGTATCCACACCACCGCCGTGTAACGTATATCACGTGAAAGCATCTACAAGCGTAGCTATAGATTCGATTCGGATGGATCTGTCACGGTAAAAAAGAAGGCAGGCGACCGAGGAAGAGGTGCCTGCCTGCGCGGAGGTAACAAGCGGTTGGAGAACCCTTGGCGTACCAGGTGTTCTCCTGAACAGGGGATGCCATCCACACCATCCCCTGGAAACCATTCGGTCAGCGCATTCCACGTGATGCCCGCCGCTACCCCTGGCGTACGTGGGAGGCTGAAGCAAGACGATCACACGCAGTAACTCTGCATGAAAAAAATTAAGGCTACTGCTGCTGGTATTTAGCCAGTTTTCCCGCCATTACTTCCGCTGCCTGTGCTGTATTTCGGAAGGTGATTGTATAAGACACAGAGGCGTGCGGCCACCATGGGTTTGACACAACACACGGGTTTGGATGGTGTCACATGACTGACGTACCCCACGGTCTGCGGTACTTGAGCAATAGACTAATATAGTTACCCGTGGGTGGGCAAAAGCCGGGGTCGCCGGCTTTCTGGAGCACCCGTCGGATTGTGCGTTCGTGACTTCTTCGTGGAGAAAAGGCAGTCATCTTGTGCCTCTTCCGTAAAGGGGCTCCGTATTCACAAACGCCCAAAAGCGCGCGCGTGCGACGGGACTGATGAAAGAAAACGAAGAGCCACACGTGGGGCGTTGACAAGAACTGACGTCCTACTGCCTAATGTACACCCCACGACCACAACCATGGGACTAGCCTCTTCTCCCTCTCTCTCGCCCATAGAGGAGCGGGCAAGCATCGAAGTCGCAACCGACGTTCGAGCTCTTTTCAGGCTCGAGATGTTTCCAGGCTGGCTGCGACACTTACCGTTCGCTAGGCAGGCAGTAGGCTCACCGTCTTCGAGACAGGCGGCAGGCCCCCTACAACGCATACGACAGACAGACTTCGTACTTCACCGTGACCCCCCCCAACCATTGCCCGATATTTCGAGAGTCCAAAAGCGTGTTCAACGAAACAAGAAGCCCGGCAACAACACGGACACGACAACAACCACGGGGGCGGGACGGGTACAGCAGGCGGACGAGACGGCGAGGAAAGACAGGAAACGCGAACAGACGGACCGAGTGACGCGAAACACTGTGCCGAATGAATTTTGCTTGACTCATCCCCCCCCCCCCCGGCACCGCACCATTGCACCATTCTTCCTGTTTCCTTTTATTTTTTTCTCTTTTTCTCTTTGTCGTTCTTTTTTCTCTCTTTTTTCTGTGTCAGATGGCCTTGTCTCTTCTTGCGTGTGAAGCACCAAGATTGACCCAAGGGGGTGTACCTCTTTCTCTCTGGCCCGTGATGCTGACTCCTAGTCTCAGTTGTTGCTTCGCATAGCGCGCAGAGGGAGCAGAGGACTCCGGAATATCTGTCGTTGATTTCTATTGACTTGCGGACCCCTCGCGGCCAGTTTGTTTGAGCGTACCTTTTTAGGGTAAGTTAGCCTGTGACCACGGGAATCTACCGCGTCAAGTCTTGGATCAGTACGGACATACGAAGGTACTGGGTAGAGAGAGATCGGAACGGTTTTTAATGTGAAGAAAACAACAACAACAACAACCAACCCCCCGCGAGCGATGACGTGCATTTGCTGGCTCGGCTGGCCCGTTTTGTGTTGTGTTGTTTTGTGTTGCTCTGTATGTATGTTTGTTGTTGTCTGTCGCTACGGCGTGTGTCTTTCTCTGCCTGTGTCTTTCTCCTTCGCTTTCCCTTCTCTCTATTTGCTCTCTGCTTCTTCTTTTTCTTTTTTCTTTCTTTCTCCAACCTAGGGTTACCTCGCATAGCGTGTAGAGGCAAGCGGAGTGGCCTAGACTATCTGTGGTTGACTTTTTTGGCTTGCGAACCCTTCGGGTCCATTTTATTTTCGTCTACCTTTTTTGGGTAAGTTAGCCTGCGACCAAGGGGAATCGACCCCGTTAAGTGTTAGACTAGTATAGTACGGATAGAAGAATGTACTGGGCAGAGAGAACGGAACGTTTTAAATGTGAAGATAACAACAACAACAAGGCGTGTTCACAACTTGTTGCCTGCGGTTGAGGGGGGCTCGGAATCCGGTCTCCAACAAACACAAGCAATTAACGGCGGTATGCATATGCTCATGGAATATTTACCCCGAAAACGACCCGAGAGTGTCCCCAAACAGAGCACGTGGTTGCTTCCTGCTGCTGTAGAGATCGAGGCACACGACTATTTCGTATCAACTACAGTTCTGTATATATACCGCTCGACGTAAGCTCTTTTCATCATTTTCTGTGCTTCTGATAGATCGAAGACCACCATCACGCCAAACCCATCAGTCTAGACACTGCTTACATAAGCTAAATATCGATAGACCCGTAAGATATCCAGTGCTAATCAAATAGCTAGTGTTGCCCAATTATTTGGCGAGAATTGCAAAGTTGACGACTGCATCCGCCGAACGCATAACAGTAAGACGAGCTACCCTGCACAACCATTTCATTGCTGTCTGGTAAAGTGGCCGGAAGAGACGGATGCACGTGCAGCCAAGAAAAAAAACGGCCATCATTGAGCAGGTATTAATCTACACAGCGTACATCCCCTGGAAGGCACTAATAATAGGTTGATTGTTGACTCGGTATCGAATCGGCTGCGCCAACAAAGAGCGCTGTTCGATTTTTTATCTTCCCCCCCTTGCTCGTGCAGTCGAAGGAGTAAGTAACAAGACAGCAAGATCAGAGGTGGCAGCATAGTCGGTGACAGCAAACAGCAAAGGCGTTGGTACATACTTTTTATGTATCGTGTCCGCCGCCAACGTTCGATGTTTGGTGGTACAACAGTATCGACATACCCATACTTGTATCTATCACGAGAGAAGGCGTCTCTTTGGATACCATACTGCTGTGTTGCGGAACAAAAATCATCCGGGTTCGCAGTTACTGCTGTGTAGCGTGATGATGTACATAGGATTGTCGGTGTGTCTGGATAGAGGCAGTAGGCGCTCCGTAAGGATGCGGGAACGACAATGTCATCAACCAGGCCGCTCCGTCGAGCAAGCCTGCGTTGGGGCAAGGCAGGGAGAAAAACTACAAGAGCTTCAGGCAGCGATGTGTGAACGTGTTCCCCGCGGGGGAGGGGAAGACACCCCCCATGACCAACGACGATGTACAGCAGTACAACTGCTGTCAAACAACCATGCGGAGAGATCGTGCAGGAAAACAAATGCCGTGTACAAGTGCGTCCTCAGAAAAGCAGAGGCTTCCGTGATAGCCAAGGGTGCACCGCTGGGCGATCTGCAGGGAATGGGACAACGGGATTTCGCTATTGTTGAGACAATCCTCCCGAAGGCAGTCGGTAAGTATGCATAGCCTGGTCGATGTCGCATACAGCAGTATACGACTACATTTGCCTCAACCTTGCCGGTAGGCCTTCATACTTCATACTCATTCACAGCTCCACAACAATTAATCAGTGATAACGTGGTGCACGTCACACCCGGCTCAGGGAGGAGAGGCGTGCACGAGGCGTGTGCAAAAGCACTCACCACGAGGTAGCGATGCCACACGTTGATGACGTTCAGGGCCGTCAGCACGGTGAGGGCGTAGTATGCTCCGGGCGGCAACTTGGCAGCAGGCGGAGAATCCGGCACGCCAACTGCTGCTGCCATCACCATGATTTGTATTTCGTTCCCGCAGCTTTTTCGATATCGATGATGTACTTGTCCCGCTCCAACTCGATCTCACACCATTTCCAGCTGCACCACGAATAACCCCAGAGAGCGAGCGATTTTCACACACCCTGGGAAGTCTGGCGGCCGAGACTTGAGAGCGTCGCGTCGCGCCGGCAACAAACAACAAACACACCTGTTGTGCTGTGTGTTGGACATCACACCCGAGATGAGGCTCCGCATCTCCGTATGCTCCCCTCGCCAGCAATACATTTTGCGGAGCCCCCTCGACACGTTTCATCCGCACCGCAAGCTTTTATTTACCTCAATCGCGAAGCCAACTAGACAGCCACCGAGACAAGCGCGTACCGGCGCACATAGTAACCTTCTGCCGAGGTGGCACATAGCATACTCTGCGGCGTGTGGAGCACGCGCGAAACAAAAGGAACGCCTGCTGGCTTTACGTCGTGTGTCTGAGGAAATTTCGTGGAAAAGGCGACACTCGGAGTTGCACGGAAAAGCGGGGATCGACACAATAAAAAACGGCAAGGAAGCTCCAGTCACAAACCACACGGGTAAGGAGGAGAGCGGGAGAGGCAAACCCCGCCCGTCCTCCGTAAGCGCACAGCGATGGGGTCTCCGAGACTCGCGGCACCACAATCGAGAGCCAGCACCGTGCTCGCATTGCCGCTGCTCGCAGCCGCGCTGGTGCTGGTGTGCGCCTCTCTTCTGCCCGCTGGGGCGGAGGCCATGGGGCCGAACGATGACGGCGCCGCCAACAACTTGGGCCTCTTAGCGCAGGCCTGTGCGAGCTCGTTTTGCGGGCTAGGGGTGGACGCTCTGGACCTGTGGTTGTCGCTGGAGGAGGTGAGAAGGGAGCGGATCGGCCCAGCGGGAGTGCGGAGTTGTGTTACACTCGCCCGGGCTAAGGCCGCAGTCGTCACGTTTTTCTTTTTTGGTTTGATTTGCGGGGAAACCGCACCCACCATCTTCAAACGCATCGACACACACAGCCACAGGCGACCCCGTGTATGCCGGTCGCGTTTTTTTACTTTGGGTGTGTTTTCTCTCGTTGGACAGACGGGATCGACGTTCCAAATGTTTTCTGCCACAGCAGGCAGAAGTACGTACAATTGTTGTGTTTTTTTTTCGCAACCGTAGATAGAGTACTCAAGATATCACACTCCTCAGACATATTTCACAGCTTGATCACTGACTCCGCAGCAGAAAAGCTTTGTCTTTTTGAAAGACTGGTGGTGCCGAAATTGGCGGCGTTGGGAGCGCTTCTCCTCAAGAGCTTTCCGAAAACGTGTCGTATCGTCCATGCAGCGTCGTGATCGTGGAGTAATCAGGCTTTGAAAATCGACCATCTCCGTTGACAGTCAACGACCCGACCAGATTCCGGATTCCATCGCTAAAATTGATCATTCGCACAGAATTAGAGGTGGAGAGAGGCGGTTCAACGGTGATTCACTGTCTGTGGGACGACAAGGGAAAGCGGCTGAGGGAGGAGATTCCGTGTTCGTCATCCGCAGTTCATGTCCCATTCACCCAAGCCAGCAAGCAGCGGTGTGCGTTTCGAGATATGAATGAAAGGGGACACGAACATTGAAATCATGTCGATCTTTGATCTTTGTTGTTGAGATGACAGCTCTTTCGTTCTCTTTCGTTCGTCAACCGGTATGCAAATGTGCCGTCGACACTATAATAATAGTGACGGAAACACGACGCAACAAGGCCACCGCCGTAGGCCCACTGCTGCCTATCTAGCTTTTCGGCGAAGTAAACGCCTTGGGTTCGCGAGTCGCGGTCTTTGATTACTTCTCCGAGCAGGGCTGTGTGGCCAGCAGCGGCAGGGTCGCGACGGGAGGTTTCGAAGCCCCCAGTACACCACCTTTTTGAGTACGTATATTTGTTCGGCCAAGCCAGTCGCCGGAATACATGAAAATTCTGTGGCCCCGTGAACATTTGCCTTGCGCGGAAAGTGGATCTGCTTTGCCATATACGTGCGAAAGATGCCTACTAATGTACTAACATAGAAAGCGTTGTGTGTGTTATTCGTGGAAGCGACTGCCTTTCACCCTCCTTGCCTCCGCGGAGCGCTGTCGATCCCGTCCACCCCGTCCACCGGCAACGGCAACGCCTCTGGCACTCGAGAAAACCTCCTGGACATGAAAAAAAAAAATAGCATGCAACTAACTTGGGAGAGCACAGACTACTTTCTCTGCGGCAAAGCACATTCGTCTGGCTTTCTCTGTCGTGCCTTGAGAGACGATCTGTGCCGTTTTCCGGGTGGTACGCATGGGTGGAAGGAGGGCTACACTCCGTCGAGGAACGGACCGGAGCATTTCGGGCAAACGCTGTACCCTATCCTGCTTGCACGTAGGCGGCGCTCGCGCCTTGCTACATGCCGCACACTTTCTTGTCTGTGCTGAGGGGTCCTGTAGCTCGCCAGCATGAGAGAGGAAACAACTATTTAGTAGACACGGGTCTGCCACAAGCCGTTAGGCCGCATGACTTAAAAACCATCTTGGGAGGAAGAGACACACAACGCTGACCTCCCGCTTCCCTCTTTTCGAATGCTGCACGACTCGCCCACATATGGCGTGCTGCTGCCCACCCACACCCGAACAGGTTTGCCGTACCGGCGCCTCGAACCAACCTTCCCTGGAAGGCGGCGGCGAGATGGAGTTTGGGGGTGTCCATGGCGGTGGGTGGGGCACGGCGGCGGCCGAAGGCGGCGGCCGCGGCGGCGACTGGTCCGCGAGCTCGACCGCGCTGGTGTGCGGCGGGGTGTTGGCGGTATCGGCGCTCGTGGGCTTCCGGTCCGGGATAAAGGTCGGCACGTGGACGAAGGAGGGCTACCCGGTGGCGTAGCGGCAGCGGTAGCGGCGACGACGGAAGTTGCGCCGCACCGGTGTTTTTTTTTTTTTCATATTTTTGGGGGACACGGAGATATTGGGTATATATATTTTGGTTTTGAAATCGAGGCAGAGAGGCTGGGGGAGAGGGGGCCCGGGAAGAGCGGATTTTTTTTTGAGACGGCGGCGAGAAGAAGCCAGATCGTCACCGCCGGGCGAGTTTTTTTTTTCCCACCGAAACGCCGCCTGTTTTTTCTAGTCACTTTTTTTTGTATTGTTAGTGAGTGTGGGGGGCGGAGGAGGCGACTTTGTTTGCGGCGGCATGCATCCCGTGTTTCGTCGCTGTCTCTATGTATCTACACACGTTTATCTTGAGAGCTGTGTTGCAGTGTGGTTGTGTGGCTCTCTCCCGATCCTGGAGAGCATGGGAAGGGAAGGAGCGTAAGGCCGGAGGCCTAAGGCCATCGAGATCGTTCGCACATGATCCGGTTTATGGGATCCCCGTTCGGTCCCTGCAATTATCGCTCATGTGTATGTGTTCGAAAAAGGTTATTCCTTGTGTGTTTCATACCGTTGTGTGTGTATGTGGGGTGTGTTGGCGAGAGGGGGCAGCGTTTTTGTCTATTCTCGCTTGACTTGTCCAAGAGAAAAAGAGGGTTGGTACAGGTTTTTGTTTCCACAACGGCGGTATACGACGTACTGAGAGGGCAGCGAAGGAAGTTTTGTTTCCGTTTCCCACACTGCTTGCACATCGTTTTCGTTTTTGTGTGTCATGTGTTGTTTTTTGTGTTTGTACTGCTGTATATGTTGATGTTCAACGTTAAAACGTTTATCGTGTGCAGCTGTTGGCAAAAGATTGAGTTATTACTTGTAGTTTGCATCTGTGTCTTATTGTGCCGTTTCTTTTTTGAAAGAGAGCAAGCAGCACGGAGAAATGAGCGTTCAGAACGAACAGACAGGAGGGGGCTATTCGCACTTCAGTGAAATCGTGCGTGAATACAGTGGAATAGAGAGATGGATGCACGAGGAGAGAGCCGCAGAAAATCGTTTGAAACGTTTTTTTTCTTATTGTGGTGGAGACAACAATAACAACGTGCATCGATTTGGGTACGGCATGTGGCCGGTGTGTTGCGGGGCCCCTGTCTTCGTTTCGACGGAGAGAGTGGTCGCGGTTGTGAGGTTCACGACAAATATAGCACGCGCGCACGTTCTCGACTAAAAATACCGTCGTGTCTTGCTCTACCAAGCCTCGGAATATCGGAGGTTTCCCCCAACTACATTCCTTGGCTGCGAGCAAGTAATAATGTGTTCACTGGTTCGGAATCACGAGAGAATGCATGGAGCACTAAACCCTACGAGCCAAGTCAACCGTTGACCACAAGTCGACGGCTCTACCCAAGTGGCGGTTTGACCGGGATGTTGTGCCTACCGTAGTAGCGAGATTCCGGGTGTGGCCGTGGAGGGAAAATGGCGGGGGGGGGGGGGGGGG